GTTTATAATTCACATTTCCAAAGATGACTGCAAAGAGAACCAAGGCTCTGTACGGGAGTGCGCCGAAGAAGACATGCAAGAAGTGCGACAGGAAGATCTCCTGTACTAACAACTCCAAGCATATCAAGGTATGCAAGGGCATAAAGCTGCCATAGACGCGCAGCGAGATCCGGAAGAAGTCATGGGAAAAGAATCGCGCTAAACGCGTAGGCTTCCAGCGCGACCAGCGCGCAGCCAAGTTCGTCGAGGAATTACAAGGTACCATAATTAAAATTCAATATGTTTGAGATTATTATGATATCTAATATTTTGCTGTTGATTAGATATTCGCGCAGGCTACGGGAAGCAGAAGGAACGCCGGCTTTACCCCAACCAAAGCCGAAAGGGATGTCAGGCCATCCCCTCGAGGTGCTCAGCCTTCATCCAGGCCTCTTTGAGCACGCGTTTGCCAAGGAACGCGCCAATAATATTTATAATGCAGGTATCCATCGGTAATGCTATGATGTTCTACGCTGAAAAGCACGAATTCCTGTCGAAGAAATGGTTTCATGCGCTGCTGGTGTTCTTGCATCCGGACAAAAGCCATCATCTTCCCCAAGAGTGGCAAAATGCACAGAACTACACTGCGGTTCGGGAGAGCTTTAAGCTTCTCCCACAATATAAGGAGGACATGAAAGAAGCGAGTACGCGCACGGTTTACGAAGAGCGGGTTCGTATCGAGAAATATCGACTCTATCTTCAGACACGACCTACCTTTAAGGATTCCGTCTAGTGTTGACACATCAACTGATTTGTATCCACGGTAAGCACCACGTGACCAGGCTACAGAAGGGGTAGAAAGGACATCTTTAGGATGGGCGGAAGGTATTGGGCCGCTAGGACTTAAGGGAATAACAGAGTGAAATTTGCCTTATCAAGAACAAATGTCTTCAGTTCAAGAATTCTACCAAGGACACGAGTCAGTCGCCGGAGTTTGGCCGGTCGATCGTCTCCACTCTCGCCCTCAACTACCCCGCTATAGGAAGCGGTCAAGCCTCGCAGG